GTGGCTTTATTTATTTATTTATGTACTTACTGTATTTGTTTATTTATTTAATGAGTTTTCTTTTCCTTCTAAGGAATTATCGCGATCAGAAACGTTCTAATAATTGTAACCGTGAAAAAATGGTACTACTAATGTTGCAAGATCTACTTCTCCCCAAAAATTGATTTAATTACGCCAATGTCACTGCACTGTGGATCTTTATGCGAAATAAAAATTTTCCTTGTTGATTGTACGAAAGAGGACTTAGATAAAAATATGCATTTGCTGTTAACACTATATTTACTGGAAATATATATATATTTATTATTATTTAATATATATTTAACATATATTTAATATACATTTAATAGATTCTTCAATGTCTGAACTGTGCCCAAGAGAAACTCGATAATTGTCTTTTAAATAATAATTTCAAAATAACCTGTTGCATTATGGTAATCTAAATAATTTTATGGATTTTGCGGATGAGAATATTGTAAATTCTGAACAATTTCTTAAAATATATTAATACTTGCTGGTCTTTAATTTTTAGAGAACCGTCTACAAATTTTCTTCTGCCTCATTACCTTGTTTTTCATTTAACAATTTCTGCTACGAATACATAAAATCCCCATTACAGTAAATTCTCTGCAATTTTCCTTCGGCTTGGAAACAAAAGTGGACAATTTGGGAAGAGGAGATACGATTATTCGAGCCTTGCACCTCGTTTTTATAATTGTACATTAGTCATTAATTAAATATAGCAAGTAAACATAGTACATCACTTACTATACTACAATAGTAAATAATATAGTAATAATAATTATAGTATTAGTTATAGTAATTTTTATAATAATCGTATAATCGAATAATCGTATCTTCTCTTCCCAAATTGTCCATTTCTGTTCACGAAGGAAAATTAGGGAGAATTTACTGCGTCGCTTCGACACCATCCCCTGCCATCACAATTGCTACAACTGCCATGATCATCTAACCACAAATATGCCGAAATTCCAAACGAATTTTTCTAAAATTTTCGAAAGACCGGGACCGCGTTCGATATCGCGATAAATCGACTTGTTACGGCTCCAATAGCGTTGCGCCCGCTGAAAGCGACCCGCGGATAGATTTACCTGGTGGTTGGCACGGGGAATCCCTGAGCGCTGCACGCTAACACCACGCTCGTGCCCTTTCGCCTCGCGTATTTGCTCAGGCTATCGTCGTTGGAGAAAATCGGCGACTTCAGCCCGACCGGTTCTACGGAATACGTAACAACACTCGAGAAACGATTCTCGAATAGTTCATCGCGTTAGGACAGTCACGCTCGCCGGGCGCATAATCGGATTCGCGAACTCCTCGGAATATCGTTAAAGCGACGGTGTTACCTGGTGGTTGGCACGGGGAATCCCTGAGCGTTGCACGTAAGCACCACGCTCGCGCCGTTTCGCCTCGAGTATGCGCTTAGGCTAAGGTCGTTGGAGAATTTCGGCGACTTGAGTCCGACCGGTTCTACGGAAAACAATATGGAAACTCGGGAAATCGATCTGACACGTGATGGGGACGAGTCACACTGCCCGCGCGAAGGGGGAAGAGTCTCGCGAGCTTTCACGGAATTCTCGTGCAATTCAATTTGTTTTGATGGTAATAGTAACGAGTCATCATAGTTGCATAATTATGTTAACACTTGGACTGGGTGATTACTGAGATTATTTGAAGTAACTTTTTCCTTTGCGAAAATGCAATTCGAAGCTTCGTTTATGAGTTATTAATGGACAACGGTGACCAATGAGAAGCGAGAACAGTTGGCGCGAGGCGGCCGACCCAATCAGCGGAACTGGGCGGAGCCACTCAGCTCGCCTCTCGTTGGTCACTGTTTTTCGTTAATAACTCGTAAACGAAGCTTCGAATTGCATTTTCGCAAAGGAAAAAGTTGCTTCAAATGCCCCCAAGAATCATTCCTTTCAAGACTTTAACATAATTATGGGACACTCTGTAAAAATTTATCGTTATCGTGGAGATTTATCGCGTTAATTTAAGGAATTGCGGTTATCTTGTTACACCTAATCTCGGTTTGGTATCTTTCTTCCTATTTCGTAATTTTATAACTAATGTGTAACTTCCAGTATTATATTCAATAAATAAATGAATAAATAAAAATGAAATTAATGACACAGGCCCTTTTAGAATATCCTAGATTGCCATTGAGAAAATAAAATACTAAAATTTTAAATTACTTCACCTGCCTACGGTGTTCGTTAAAAAACCACTAAAGGTGTTCACATAGCAAACGCGACTACGTGCATAATAATTAATATGAAAATACAGAGACAAATAAAGATACGTTTGCAAAATCCGACGAATGTAACCGCAACAAAATAGTGATTTCAAAGAAACTTCCACAAGCCTCTAATAGGCAATCCGGGTAATAAACACTGAAAACACCGCAGAAGCTTTAATATTATCGCTTCCATATTTGATCGATAGCAAATGCGAACGCGCTTCCAGTAAATAAAGCAATATCCCTCAGACCACAGACCTAATCTACTTCCCTCGGCCAATCGAACCCCGTGAAAATCACGAGCTTACACGAATCAGTTACGCGGGAATCGGCCCGAAACCAGCCACGCTCTAGAATTATGGATCGGATAACGATCGCTTTTCCGGACGAAAATCGTAAAACAGCCCAGGACCGGGCTGTTCGCGCGATATTTTCGGGAGGGTCACGCGAGATTACCTGGTGGTTGGCACGGGGAATCCCTGAGCGCTGCACGCGAGCACCACGCTCGTGGCTCTGCGCCTCGCGTATTTGCTGAGGCTATTGTCGGTGGAGAAAATGGGCGACTTGAATCCAACAGGTTCTAGGAAAAATATCACCAGGCGGTGGAATTACGTTTGATTCGGTGCCCACGGCCGATGGGAAGCGGCGAGAGAGCGAAAATTAGAATTAATGGTCGGGTCGGGCTCGGCGCGAAAGCCGAGAGCCGGTCATTCGAAACCGGCGCGACGCGACGCGATTCGGTCGCGGGGGGCGGCGAGGGGATTGGGAAATTGTATCGATCACGGCTGGATACTGCGGCATGTGGACACATGCGAGAACGATCGAATTTCATCTCACCTCGAAAGTGGAACAGGGTAACCTTGCACCGGACACATCAAACCGACCATCGCCGACGACTTCGCGTCCACGAACTCGACTTTGCGATTCGTCGGTAGCTTCGGCTTCGCGCTATTCGTCGGCTCTGAGGATCACAGGAGAATCGATTACTGTGATTGAGAAGCAACGATGGAATTAAACGGCTTTCTTTTTCATTCAGAACGCGGCATTTTGTTCAGCGAAGCGATAAATGTGCGAGATGTCGGTGAATTATTCGTAGCAGTTTCGAGTATAATTCATTTTTCCATTGATAATGAAACGGGATATTGGTCAATATACTTGACGTTGATATTCGTATGGATCATTTCGTCGTGTGTAAATGGGAAGAAACATCATTTTTACTCTGTTTATACGACCGAACGAAGATGAATGAGACTCGTGTAACAATAATTAGAATACAGATTGTATACAGATTTTATGAGTAGATTAAATGCAAAATAGCGAAACCATTTGAACAATTCGAAAATATCATTGCATTGCTAATATTATTAAGAAAATGAATAAATGTCTATGTAGTTCCTACATCTTATACAGATTCCTGAGGTCATTTGAAGCAACTTTTTCCTTTGCAAAAATTTTCTCCGAGGCTTCGTTTACGAGTTATTAACGAAAAACACTAACCAATGAGAGGCGACCACTCGCCTAGTGCTAGGCGGCCGAGCCAATGGGCGTAACTGGGCGTCGCGCGCCAGCCGAGTGCTCGCCTCTCATTGGTCACCGTTTTTCGTTAATAACTCGTGAACGAAGCCTCGTAGAACATTTTCGCTGAGGAAAAAGTTATTTCAAAACACCTCAGCAATCATCTGCTTCCGGCTGTTAACATAATTATGGGACAACCTGTATACAAACGCTAGATGCAGAACCTAGGTAACGAAATTCTGTCCAGGTGCATAAGTGGACTTGAGTCCGTCACTGACCGTGTAACAGGAACAGGGAACCCTTGAGCGGGGCAAGTCATCGACACCTGGCTGGACGACGGCGTCGGCCTCACCACTTTAATGTCCGCGTTCGTGAACTTTGGTTTCGCGCTGGACACCGGTTCTAACGGACAAAATTACATTGCAGGACGCGATTGCCGCAGCTGATCGAGCGGAGATTGTCTATGCCCTAGGAACCTATTCCGGAGATTGAAGTACCTGAACGCTGGAACCGGAAACGCCTGCGCGGGGCAGGACAGCGTCAACGGCTGAGATGGTCGGACGCTGTATGTCGTGAGGATGCGTGAATTTTCCGTCAGGGGGAATTTCGGTTTTGTGCTGGACACCGGCTCTGACGGAGCAAATCAAATACGTCGGAATGTTGGTTATGCGTGACTAATTTTTGCAGTGTTCTGTGTAATCATTTTTGCGTTGTTGTGTGCAGTCATGTTTGTATTGTTATGTATAGTCATTTTTATATTGTCATATGTGGTCACTTTTGTGTCGTTATATGTAGTTAATTTCTGTATTGTTATATGCAGTCATTTTTGTACTGTTACATGTCGTAATTTTTCTGTTGTTATATGTAGTCATTTTTGTATTGCTGTATATAGTCATTTTTGTACCGTTACATGCAATAAGTTTTGTATTGTTATCTGAAGTTGTTTTTTGTATTATCATCTGTAGTCATTTTTCTATTGTTACATGCAGTAATTTTTGTACTGTTATCTGAAGACATTTATTGATTGTTACATGTAGCCATGATATTCACGTTCAGACTACGTTTCTAAAAATGTTCGCATCTTGTTCATACGAAAACAGAGATACTTCAATAGAAACAATAATTTTAGAGTTTCTGTGCTTCTCAAATTCAGTGATATTCAGTACGTTTTTGCAACTCAAACTTCCAATTCCGATGAAACAGGAGTTTCGAAGAGTGTCTATAGTACCTGAACGCTGGAACCGGAAACGCCTGCGCCGGGCAAGACAGTGTCAAAGGCAGAGACCGTCTCACGGTGTACGCGGTATAGGTGCGTGAGTTTTCCATCGAAGGGAATTTCGGTTTAGTGCTGGCCACCGGTTCTACGATAACAAGAAGAAGAAGAAGAAGAAGAAGAGGAAGACGAAGAAAACGAGGAGGACCTCTCTTTAACGTCTGACTCCGAGTCACTGGGACAGGGCCTCCGATAACTATCCGCTAATTGCCGGCATCGATTCGCCGGCACTCCGGGTCAATTGGATCACGATACCATCGGATTCGCGGGAAAGAAAGACCGGGCTGGAGTGCGATATCGATTAAACTATTCACGGAAGAACTGCTCCGCCGCGGGACAAAGGCTGCTCATTGGCGGCTGCTCGTTCGCCCCGAAGAGGATCGGGAGTCTCGCGAAATTACCTAGGCAAAGTCTGTTTTCGCGGCGCACAGTGGAGCGTTGGGTCCGAAAAGCTGGCCAAAGTATCATTTTTTTTATTCATGTATGTGAAAAACACAGGGTACCGGTATTATTTCTTTTTATTACAGACTTTGATATTGATGATGATGATGAATAGGCACGTTTTGAATCCATTAAAAAATAAGCATAATATTCTAGTCGCTTATAATTATTTTTATTTGTCTATAGTTATTTTTATTTTGATCACAATTAATTTTATTTCTTCATAATTATTTTTATTTGTCTATAGTTATTTTTATTTTGTTCATAATTATTTTTATTCGCCTGTAATTATTTTTATTTGTTCATGATATATTTTTATTTCTTCATAATTATTTTCGTTTCTCTATAATTATTTTTACTTGTCTATAGTTATTTTTATTTTGTTCATAATTATTTTTACTTGTCTATAGTTATTTTTATTTTGTTCATAATTATTTTTATTTGTCTATAGTTATTTTTATTTTGTTCATAATTATTTTTATTCGCCTGTAATTATTTTTATTTGTTCATGATATATTTTTATTTCTTCATAATTATTTTCGTTTCTCTATAATTATTTTTATTTGTCTATAGTTATTTTTATTTTGTTCATAATTATTTTTACTTGTCTATAGTTATTTTTATTTTGTTCATAATTATTTTTATTTGTCTATAGTTATTTTTATTTTGTTCACAATTATTTTTATTCGCCTGTAATTATTTTTATTTGTTCATGATATATTTTTATTTCTTCATAATTATTTTCGTTTCTCTATAATTATTTTTACTTGTCTATAGTTATTTTTATTTTGTTCATAATTATTTTTATTTGTCTATAGTTATTTTAATTTTGTTCATAATTATTTTTATTTGTCTACAGTTATCTTTATTTGTCCATAATTATATTCATCCGTCTATAATTGTTTTTATTTGCTCACAATTCTTTTAATTCGTTTATAGCCACTTTTTCCAAGTTGAAACACTATAAATAAATCGGTAGGTACATTTTTGATTGATTGAGAATAATTTTGGCCAGCGAAATCGGACAAAAGAAACCCCACTGTGCGTCGTCTCGCAGCCCAAGATGGACACCTGCGAATTTACCTGAATGCTGGCACAGGAAATCCTTGGACGGGGCACAGCAGGGTCGTGATCGTACCGAGCATCGCTCTGGGATTCGTCGATTTCACGTCCAGCGCGGTTAATTTCGGTTTCGAGCTCGACAACGGTTCTGCGTCACAGGAGAAACGAAAAGAGATTTCAGGGCTTTCGCGAAACTCGCATGGAGTTATTGTTACGTGGCTCCCGGGTGTAAGCCGTGTACAAAGGATTCTCATCCAGTCGCCCCCCCCCCCCCTCCGACTGCATTGCGACTCGCTGGAAATATATCTTACTCCTTGCACCGGCTGAGTCACCTAAGATGGAAAGTGAAAATATCTGTCTTATTTATGATTGTAGGAAAGTCTTCGCGACGAGCCTGCATTGGTTTTAGCAGCCAGTTTGGGGCGCTAAAAATAGGGTGTCTTTTGCGGTTTTTCTTTTGAGGGACACGCGAGGTGGTTCCTTTTTCAATTTTTGGAATATTTTGTGTTGTTTTCAACGACCATGTAGTCATTTTTTCGTTAGAGAATGTGCGGTGGAAAATGATATGCATAAACATTTGTGTGGAGGCTCGTTGGAGGTGATTAGGGTTGTCTTTGGTGCTTGCCTTAGGTTTGTTTTCGGGCGTAATTAATTTCGTATTTATCGAGTAGAGCATACTAAAAATTTTTATTAAAAAACTAACAAAATAAAGAAAAATTTAATAAGACGTATTAATTTTTTTTTATTAACCCTTGGCTGTCACAGTGAGTCAATATGACCCTCATTTTTTTGACACAGTTCTTGAGATTGTATTGTATAGAAAATTTGAATTAAATTCGCAGAAATTGTGGAATAATGCAAAATTATACGAAAACCAGAATCATTTTTCAAATTATATATGTATTTATCGAGAAGAGTTTCTTTTGTACATAAATAACGAAGACATTTTCACTTTTCATCTTACAAGGGTGAGTCACCCTGTAATCTACCCAATGTTCACTGCACCGGAGCATTGATCAGCTAATCGGTTTAATTGGTTGGTTAATGGTCTTTTTAGTGGAAAATACACCTCAACCAGATTTCACAAAAAAAAATAGACAATATAATTCGTGCATTGTGAGAGAATGCAGACATTATGTAACAAAGTTTTAACGAAGTCAATAATTAAATAAAATAATTTAATGAGGCAATAATTCTAGCAAACGTGTCTACCTTGTTACACTTAATTGTTTGTGTAATATTATGAATGGTCAAAAATATGGCTTTTAATCGTTTAAATTAGTGACTTTTAATCGTTTAAATTAATGGTTTATAATCCTTTTTTAATCGGAAACTGGCAAAAACGATAGAAATATTTTAGTAAATCGCTAAGCCAGGAATAAAAGCCATCATTTGCGCGGCACCTCGTGTATCAGTTCCTAAATCGAACACTATAATGCGATACAGTCACACCACGCGCTAAATAGGCGACAATAACTTTTTCACGTTCCAGAAAATTTCCGTTGAACCGTCACGCGATAACTAAATTTTGCTGATGCGAATCGTGGCATGTTTTATGGCAACTAGAAACCTCGTTAGCTGCGCTTATCTTTATCGTAAACGGAACGAGATTCATGGAATTTTGTACGTTTAAGGATTGCGATAAAAATTGCATTAACCTTCACAGAATGAATCTGATGATAGTAATTACTATCGGACTCGTCTAACCTCTAAAAAATTCGAACAAATAATTCGACCACTTTGTTAGTAAAGTTTCTGCTAGTTTTTATAATTATACCGGTTTACCGTTTAAATATATTTACTCTTAATCGTATAATATTAATTGCTTAATATATAGTTAAGAGTAAATATATTTCAACAGCAAACAATATAGTTGTAAGAACAGTAAAAAAACATTTAAAGAGCGTGACAATATTAAGCAATTAATACTAATATTAGTGTAATATATATATATATTACACTATATACTAATATATAATAATATTAATAATAATAATATTAATAATAATAGTAGTGTAATATATATATATATATTAGTAATAATGATAATAATATAAATAAAATAATAATACTAGTATTAATTGCTCAATATTGTAATTGCATAGGATATAATATTGTAATTATCAGTATCCATCTTTTCTGAGATCAAAAAATCCCTTCTTGAAAATGCACAGAAGCAACAGAAAGCCTAACATCGTCAACACGATTGCTTATCTTTCGACCTATCGCCTAAATCCCAGCTGGATCATCGATCGACTGATCAACGTTCAAGTACAGCAACCACAGGCTATACAAGGATCGCATTTATTGACGCACGTCACGCGTCTTCGGGCTCCCAACGAAGCCAGCGATAGCCAGCTATAGTCAGCTATAGACCAGCTATGTAAGTCGGCTACAATGTCAACGAGACATTTGTACGGCGATCGTTTCGACATGGCTCACCCAGCAGCGTGAAACAACGATGAGAAACAAAAGGATAATAATCTTGGGGACGATGGGGATGATCGTTCGGAGGTCCTGCGCGTCTTCCAGACTTACTTGAAGACTGGGACAGGATACGCCTGTGCTGGACACAGAATCGGGACGCCCAGCGCTTCCGGGACCTCGAAGGTTCGGCTCTTGTCCATGGTCGAGAACTTAGGCTTGGCGGAGCCGACCGGTTCTACAAGGAGAATGATCACGCTCTCGTGTAACTAACTATGAACGACGTAACAAGCTGGAGAAAAGTGAGCCGCGCGTCGGTGCTCGCTTTCAGTTTCGAGGAGAGCATCCAGGAATTCTAGTTGGCCGGCCTGCCTAATATACTGGGACAGGGTGAAACATGGAGTTTAGAGAGAGAGAGAGAGAGAGAGAGAAAGAGAGAGAGAGAGAAAGAGAGAGAGAGAGAGATGCTTGTCTATTTTTCACCGTGTTGCGAAGCGATGGATACAGTGGCTCACGAATATGTTCTGCCGCCCTTTAAAACGAGACAACTGTTTTCAAATCGGGCGGAATGACTCGAGATTTTTTGGAAATGATGACGATGCTTAAAAATTTCTTTTTTAAGTTGCATTTTTCTTTTATTTAGAGCAATTTTAATCTTTCCTCGGATTGTTTTCCATTACGTCGAATGTAGAAAGTGTTGTCGAAGGTATATCTTGTTGATATAACTTCGATATTTTTACATTATTTATTTATTATTATATGTATACATTATTTATTTATTTATTTATTTATTAGAATGACAAAATTAAAATACTTTTTCAACAACTGTCGAATATCACCTTCGAAAATTTTCGCAATGTCAAAATCATTTAATTGATGAAACCGAAACTAGAAAGTTAATATTTATCGTGGCTAATGTTAGTTCAACTCGTACAATGAAAATGGGTTTTGAAGTCTAGTTAAAAATTAGTGTCAGCCACGTGTAGCTAACACGGCACCGGACGCGACAGCTTTTTTATCCGAGCCTTTTTTTATTTGCCTTGACACCCATATGTGACAGAATGTTTTGCTTAGATTCGGAACCGAATTTTTACAGCTCATCTATTATCTTTTAGTCAAAAAAATAGTAAGAAAAATGCGAGTGTCTCGTTTCATCTGTCA